AACTTTTTTCTGAGAAAATTCTCTCATTTGCCTCAGAAAACAAAGTGTTTGCTGAGACATTATTTTCTTCTCTACTACCAGGGTCTCAAAAGGAACACAGGGTTTGCATCACTTCACTGGTCTGTGCATGTATTTGTACAGAGACAAATGTATGAAATGCAGTCATGCTTTATGTAGAAGTTACATTTCAGTCGTGGGTATGCCCCAGGACATGCTATTCACACATGGCTCGTATAGGGAGGTAACAACATACTGTGGTTCACAAAGACCCTCTTTTAGATGAGACAGAAAACAAAGCTAAGGACTATTCCTGATTGGGAGAGATCTGAGATTTATTGCACGTGCTGGAGCAGATTCTACTTGGGTAACCTGCCATAGATCCAGTGACAAACTACTAAGAGCTTGTCTCCGGACATTAGAGAGTCTTCACAGCTTGAATTCCTGATATGTAAACTATCCTCATTAGTGGCTCAGATTTTCCCATTTACCCATGGAAAATATCAGAGTTTTACCAGTTTTTACTAGGGATCCAGAATAAAGACAGTGGCTTCAGCATCGCAATCATTGCTGATATCACTGGGGAAAAGATTTTTCTTTAAAATTAATATCACAGTTCTTCACAAGTAGGATAGAAAAATCCTGAAGATCTGATTCCCAGCAGAAACTAACAGCTGCCTCATTTCCAACATTGTTAGAGAGACTACTGCATAGAAAAACAGAATTTCTGAACTGTGGTTGCACAAAAGAAAACAAAACGCAGTACTACTGAATTATTGTAATTGCCATTGAATGGACCCAACTGAGACATTTTCGGAATGAGCTGGGTGCCAAACCCCAGCAAGAAGCTGTTGTCATATTCCTGGATTCTACGTATGCTGTCCTTGGGAAAGAATTCAGTGTTTTCTTGGCACAGCAAAGCACAGAGGTGAACTTACAGCTTATTTGCACTTAAAGATAACAGGTTCCACTCAAGTGCTTGATGTTTACTTGGAGATGAGTTTTTTTCAGATCAGGACAGAATGCTCAGTGCTATATCATAGGAAGCTCACAGTACCGTAAGTGGTGATGGTGACATTTTACTGTATTCCTAAACTCTACAGCTGGCAGCAACTGTCTGAAGAATGAGGCCCATGGCACTTTTGGCCACAGTAAAGCACTCAGACGTGTTTAAAGCCCATCTAAGTCAATAGGACTGAAGTGTGTTCTTTCTATTAAGCATAAGCTGTCCTTATTAGAGATTTCCTGAACTGAAGCACTAATTATTCTGTTCTACTCTGAAGCTTGATTCTAAACCTGTCGTCTTTGATGAGAACGGAAACAGCCAGGACATAGAAACTCTTGGATCCACACCTTAAAAAAAACTCACTTCACTCATCACAATCCCAACTGGAATTAAAGGTCATGAACCTGCATCAAAAAAAAAAAGTGTGGAAGGAAATTATAATGCACTGTTGCTCTCTTGTTGCCTATCAAGGGAATAAGGATTATTTCTCCTTAAGTGCTACTCATTAAAACTCCTACTAAATATTTTTTGATGCATGAAGAAAAACAATGCCCATAAAAGTTTACATACAGCTTTTTGTTAACACACATTTCATCTCCCAAGGAATTTTTAAGAAGCAGTCTAGCTTTACTGACAACTGTGCTTATATTATTAAATTTGGCAAGTATCTGATGTTGTCATATGCATAGTATTTTACTATTAATATTCTCTTGCTTTATGTAGACCACATGAAGAACGAGCTCAGAGAGTATCTCTGTTATTTCTAAATGTAGCTGAAGGATACCACCCTCGCCTGGCTGGCTGATGCTCATACCTTTAATTTGCCCTAGCTCTGCACATTGTTCAAGACTTAATGACAGCAACTGATAACAGTAGGAAATTACGCCTATGATCTCACAGCCTTTGTGAATTAGCAAAAAGATTAATGATAGTAATTGGCTCTCTTATTTGTCCTTTGCAATAGGTACATAAAAGACTAGCTGTCCTTAAACTGCAAAAATAGAGCAGTCAACATTTATATTCTAGCATCATTAATTAAAAGCATTTCTGCTTAAGAAACACCAAAGAAAGCAATACTTTTCTAATAAGTGTTGGAAAAGGAAACAGGGATCATCATTCACTTCGATATGTGAGATATCATTTATCTAGGGCAGACAGCCCTAAAGTCCCATGATAGGTCAAGAGGAATAAAAGCGTTTTAAAAAGGAGCGTTTGTGATACAATATGGTTAGAAATTAAACACATCAGCAGAAAGGACAGAGTTTCAACATCCCAAGTCAAAATGCTTCAAGAGGATGAAGCATAAGCAGAGACTGAACTTTTCATACCCCAGTTTGGAGACTGCTTTAAACACGGTCTGGTCATCATCACAGAAAGATGATTACCAATGCATTAAATATTTTAAACCCTTTAAAGTGGGCTTGCTAACTGATCTGCATCTCATTCCACACCCTGAATCATTCATGAAAGGTACATTTCTTTGTGATTTCAATGATTGCAGTCATACATGAGTAGATTCATTAATTCACCTTTTTCCCCACACCCTAGTTCTATTCACTTTTTGTAGTTGGAGGTAGATGCCAGAAACATAACTCCTATTCTCCTGTCTAGGTACCTTTCCACTCAGTCAGCTTGTAAATATTTCATGTACTACTTCCACTGCGCAACAGTAGTTACAAAAAGAGTGAAATGGGAAGAGGAAGGAGAAGGAAAGCCAAGCGAGCTTAAATAAGCCAGTGGACAGAGAAGTTAACAACTCCCCCATATTAGCCTGTGAGATTCGCTTGTCTTTGAAAAGCCTTTACTGTTTTTAAGTAGTTCTACAGCACTATGTACAAGATTTGCTCTTTCAAGACCAAGTAATAAATAAGCTGCTTTTCTGAGTAGCAAAGGTGTGGTGTTACAGCACCAGCAATCAATCCTGCATTGGGATCTCTGCTGGTGGAACCCTATGTTAGTCCAAGTCCCTCCTAACAGATCTCGAAGCATAGACCTAATCGAAGACCCAGGGCTAGAAGTGTAATCAGACTATGTTGTTGTATTAATACAGCAAATGCTGGGAGCACACTCACTAAAGGGACATTTAAAAATAATCACTGCATAATATCTTGTTTCCAAACTCATTTTTGAAGCCAAAGAGTTCATTTCTGCTGGGTCTTGTCTTAAAAATTGTGGTCCATTTATTTAAATTTTTGCATACATTCTCTTCAAATGCTTGATTTAAAGGAAACTGTAGGGGAGAAAAAGGTTTCTGTTTCTTTGATAAAATAAAGATATTGGCAACTTTTTGAATAGGGCTAAAGAAATCCTGGCCAAAGGTTAGTATTGGAAATTCAAAGTAGAAACTGAACTAAATTCTCATCCCACTTGCAGTGGTGCAATTCTTGCCCCTACCAGGCACACAGTTGGACGGAGGATACCTCCTCCCTTCCTGAGAAACAGTGGGAACACAGATCGCTAGCATTACCTTTCCACAATATGAAAGTGAGCAGAATTTGGTGCCATTCCTTTTAAATTGTATCAACAACTGAAAGACTAGTTTTCCTTAGTAGAAAATTATGACTGCTGGCCACGAAAGGTCTCACTAGTTGCTCACTCTGCTTTTTGAAAAAGTCTCTTTGAAACAGAAGAACAACAGTGAGCTTGTGGACATTTACCCCATCAAGTGCACTGTAAATCACCCACAGAGATGTAAGTGAACAGGCCCCTATCCGTCTTTGTTCAATAGGACTTTGCTTTCCGGAGAGCAGAGGAAAGAGGGTTTAATTAGTTGCTCTGCTCATTATTCATACATTAATAAAGGCACTTGAAAGGTATAGTTTCATTACTCATTGACATCAAATTTCAAAGGCCCTGTTCTCTCCTAGGAATTCAAATTAATTGTGCAAAGGTAAATCAGCAACTTTGTGCAGACGAGGCTGCAGGAACCACCCTTGCTTTGTGCTACATAACCACCCTCAAATCCCAGTCCCACAGTTTACAGAATGACAAGTAACTTGCTGACTCTAGTTTGTAATCAAACCGCATAAATTTAACACTGAGTTTTTCAGCACTCCTCCCATCACACAAGGGACAAGGGGGGAGTCTATCCGCACTTTCCACACCTTTAATCACCGTCCCAGGAAGGGAAAAGTGACATAGCAAGCTGTCATTAGGGGAGAGGCGTGTAGACGGAAGTTATTGGATGCAGATCTCCTAGGAGTCATATTTTGCTACAGGCTTTCTCCATGGAAACCCAGCTTCACCAATCTTGCGCAGTCCCACAGCGCACATCCCAGACTTAGAAGACTGTGATAATTTCTCTGCACACTAAACCAATTATATTTTCCGTTCTCATTTTTCAAACAAGTTTTTATCTTTATAAAGTAATATGAAAAGGGTAGACAGAGGCCTCCTTTTCCTGTTTAGTTTTCAAATTGTTATTTTCAACAAGAGAATGTGAAAAAACATTATTTAAAAAACAACATTAAAATACTGTAACTGAGCTCATAGAAAATTCATGAAGTCAACAAAAATCAGGCAAATGAACTTCTCCCAGCAAAGCCAACTAGACTTCTCCCATATGTTGAGTAGGAGAAGGATCTACCCCTCATTATCTTAAAGAAAGTAGTGACAGAATTTTCAAGTTAAATATGTGAACAACTCCTCCAAAATACACAGAATATATTCAAGCAAACTAACTCGAAATGAGACATTTCACAATTGTACATTTTTTCCCCCAGTATGATTCACTCAGCACAGCTGACTGAACAATTCCGTTAATGTGTGAGCTGAATAACCAGTTTGATTGTCCTGACACTTTTGAATGAGAGATGTAATTTTTTCGCATCACTCACCCAGCTGTTCTAGTGAATATCACATAGCTATTTGTATATTCCAGGATGAAAAATTACAACTCTGGGTTTTAAAGCTTATTAATAAACATGCATTGAGGGTGACAAGAACTTTCAATCTGTATAAAAACACTATTAAAAAAGCTAAATTATTCTATGCAAACCTTCAGTTCCTCCTGAATTTTTTCCTCCTCCAATTTGGCAGCTTTCCGATCTTCTATTTCTATTTTCCATTTTTCTGCCACTATTCTGGCTTTTTCTTGAGCCATAGCATCCCGGAATTTCTTTGTAATTTCAGCCTCCTTTTGTCTCCTTCAGAAAAGAATTTGAAAATAAAAATAACTTAAGACACTGATTATTTTTTTAAATTGAGGATTAATACTTGCTCACTGGTTGCAACAAATAATTAGCATAAGACTTCATGGAAATATACAAGGAAAGAATTAAAACGTATTTAACAAGAGACCTACCACAAATCAGATTTGAGGAAACTATCCAGAACGCAGACATTTTCAATTTTTGATAAATGACTAATTAAAATAGCACCTTCTAAATTAAAGAAGAAGTTCTTGGATGTCTTTGAGTCATACCCCGTATTTTTTCTTCCCTGGCTGAAAAAATAGATTTTTCTGTCAGTCTAGCAAAGCACGATTGGGAATTTATTGTCTCTCAAATATCAACGCAAATGTCTGCCAAATTCTTACACTAGATTGTTTATTAGTACTGACAATGTAAAAGGAAAGCAAAGCACAGTTGAAGTTTTTAATCCCGGCTTAAATACGCAATCACTATAACCACGGAGAATCTCATATAAAAAGGAATAATATAGAATAACCTGATATTTAAACTGTCACTTTTCAGTGCTGCACTACAAAAGGAAGTGCAGGAGGCAGGTGGCCTCCTTCCCAACAATATCAAGCATCAAAACACTTTTGAATCTCTCCCAAAACTGGAAGAGACCCTCCTGGAAACACCAGCACGGCACTTTGTGTAATCAGTTTCTGAACTGCTGGTTTAAGAATTAATATAAGTAATACGTAAATGAAACCAATTTCAAAAAGGATTTTATGTACCAAATCCCCATTGTGGGCATAGATGTGTGATACAACAAACATTTCTAATTTAATAATCTCAAAACCAGATTGTTTCATTTTTATTTATTTACAAACTGGTCAATGGTTTAGCAAAATTCCCCAAAAGAAAAGCGTTTGCTTCACTTCTTTTATGAAAGAGGGTTTTGGTTTTTCAGTGTTCAATAAAAATAAAATTACATTTTTCACATGCTGAAAAATTGCCAAAACAAGTGAAAGCAAATGTTCACAAAACATACTTACCCGTTTTACCCACCATTACCTGCCACCTTTCTACAAGGCCATGTCTCCCATTATGCCAAGTGGACCCTGAATTCACATTCTTAAATCCTCACCATAGTTCTTCTGCCTCCTTCTGTGCTTGTTGCCTGGCTCGCTCTGCTATTAGCTCCTCTGATATCTGTTCATACGGCTTGTCACCTGGGGCTTCTCCCATCACCCAGACCCAGACCTCACCATCCTTCCCATGTAGCCACTGCACATGTTTGCCATTACCTGCAACAGCCACCAAAAACAAAACAAAAATAGAAATACTGGCTCAAACTCTTACATAAATATAGATGAAAAGATGGGAAAGCTGCAATTTAGAAACATTAAGCTTGCAATTTACAATTCAGAATAAAACATTACTAAGAGGTTGGATGAAATCTTCAGATTTGACCAATCTACCATGCTGGGGAAAAAAAAGGGGTTGTACGCTCCAGATCACACAATCTTTGAAGACTCACTGTCCCACAAAAATAAGGAATTATTAATTCTGACACGCGTTTCCCAGGATTTAGGTATTATGATCCCTTTTTAATTGTTGCAAGTATATTTTCTTGCTTCACTCGGCAAGGGATGAATGAAAGGAATGGAAAAAGGGAGGGAGTGACAACAATAACCGGTGACATTATGTGACTAGCAATGCTTCAGCACACAGAGAATGTCGAGTGTTGAGCATATAGAGACTTCACCGGAACCCCTGCAAAAAATCCAGGAATTTCCTGCTCCCACTGTGCGAAGGAGGAGTTTCAGAAAGCCTGCATACTCAGCGCACACCACTGAACACGGCAGAGGCTTTTCTGTTCGGGTAGGCAATTGAAAGGGATTAAGTTTCTGGTTCAGTTTTCATGAAAGACACCACGCAAAATCTACGGTTGCTGTGTTGACAGAGTGATTTTAAAAACACCAAAAAAGCCCTAGTGCTCTTTACAAAATCGACTACATTTGGTGAACCTTCATGTCCAAGAACCTTTTTTGACTACAAAGGGCACTAGACTAGATCCCACCTGAATACATTTTAATAGTCATACACACTACCTAACTTGGTGTGGTTTGGTCTTTTCCTTCTGCTTTTATATGTGTAACTCTCAGATATTTTATGCATTTTAGAGGTTCATAATAAGGAATTGGTAGAAACACCTCTTATGCATCCATTTTTATGTTTTATTTCTTGCAAATTTGTTGAAACTGTTCTTCACAAAAGGAGATTCCACTACAAAGACCATTGCCAAGATGGACAATGGATTTATTTTAAAGAACGCAGACTAAAAGGCCATAAAGGCTCAGCAGTTCATCTCACTTCCCGTAATTACATTCCCTGAGATTTCACCCTCTCACCCAAATATCGAGGTTAGTAAATCGTGCGTCGCCACATAGCTTCTAAAAGGCATCTTGTCTCATTTGAAAATGTGAAGAAATGGACAGTCTGCCATCTTCCTAGGTAGTTTTTCTCTGATGTTCCCATAAGAGTTAGAAGAAACCTGGTCCTATTTGAATGGTCAGTCTTTACTTCCGCTCTTTCTACATCTTTCTCTACTAGCATCAGCTTAGCTACCCTCACCTTCAACTACCTGTTGCTCTGCAATAAGACAGTATCCATTTAACCAGATTAAGTTTCCCGAATCACAATCAATAGTCTGTTTTTGACATCCCAGACTGAAGAGAGAAAACTGCAGGAGGGAAATGAAGCGGGGCTGTTGACAGCCGGCAGTGCCAGCGCCAACCCACACTCGCAAGTGTTGACAATACGAACTGAAGGCAATGAACATATCAGATCTCTCAATGAAAGCTAATATTCTATATCAAATTTGAAAATGTGATTTATACAAATTCCCAGTGTTGACCTAATGGTACTGACTTCAAGGGGGAGTGGAAACTTAAGCTAATAACGTTTTCCTTCAATAACTCTCAAAAGCATTTGCTCTTTCACAGCCTATCAGATTATGTCTCAGGTTATAAATGTGAATGTATTTTATTGCGGTTCCTATTCTGTACATTTCTGTGTTCCTGTCAGCACAACATTTACATTGTATTTTTTGGATACAGCATTTGAACACCATCTGCCACGAACTGACTGGCCATATCAGTATTTGCCCGCAAGGTTTTCACCTACTGCATTTCATGGTAAAGTATCTTGAGAAGTATGGAATGATTTCCCAGGAGTATTGACCCCACATAACCAATGGCAGCTTTTGTTTTAAAAGTGGTCCATGTCCTCTTTCCTGGGAGGAATCTGGATATCCTAGTTGTTCCCCTTTATTTAGTGCTTTAAAGAAAACATTGCAGACAACATGCCTCATGTTATTTATTTGTATCATAACTGGTAGATACCAAATACTTCACTACTTCTGCTCATTTATACACTTAGACGGAAAGAGAGCAAAAAAAAAAAACCCTTTTCAGGTAAGTAGACAAATTTTATCTTTGCTTCTTTCCAGGTTTTCTGTGCCAAAGAGTTATTAATATGTTTCTCAGAGGCACAACTTATCCATTACTACCCAGCCCCATAAAACAAATAGTTGATTTGTAGACAGGTCTTGAGAAATTGTTCTCTTTCTTCCTTTTAAAACAATGGATCTCTCTTCTAAAGCTATAGACGGTAGATGTATAAACTCTTTTGAAAACATCAGTATAACGTATTGTTGGTTCAGCACTAACTACTGTATGCTACAGTACAGTATACTACTGTATACACAACCATAGTTCAAGTTGAAAGATAATAGCAGAACCAAACAATCTGGCAATTTTAAGCTTCAGCATTAAACAGACAGACCTCCACATGTACAATTTTAAAACAATTCAATTTGAGGACATATGCCTTTATTTAGGTTTTTCTTTAGAACAAGAGAAGGTCTTTTTCACACTCGACCACCCTTTCTATTTTACTTCAAGAAATTACTCCCATGCAAATCTTCCCTTAAACTTACACTCCCGTAAAGTTGGAGGTGGGCTTTACTGTACAATCTGATCATAAAACTTGGCACTTTCTTTGCACAGAACAACATTTTAAAAATGAGTGTGCAGGAAAAGAAATAAGCAGCTCAGGAAGAAAATCTGGCACTGTGAAAACAGAACCCCTGCCATACAAAAAGTCTTTGCAGCCTGCAGAATCAAGTTCACAGTGGTCAGTGTCAGCTCTTCCAGGCTAACAATACTGGGCTTGCACTTATAAGCTGTAGAACCAATTGCAAGATCTGAGCTGAAAGTACAGAAAATTATTTTCCTTAATATTTTTAAGAAACTAGTGTTGTCTGCTTTGCAAGCAGAAAATTACCACCATTGAGGGCTGATTATAATAAAATAATTTCTGCTTTAAGATGCCTCTCAAGTATTACATTTTTCTGCAAAATAAGATATTTTGTTAACACACTTTATTTCCAAATGAAACAGAAATAGAAAAAAAAGAAATAGAAAAATTCAAATAAATCTAAAAGGAAGAGACAGGTTCTGACTAAACAAATTTGAAATCTAGGTGAGAAAGAGGCAAAGGAACCTCATGTTTCCTGCTCAGAAGCAAGCTTCTGTGCCAGTCACAAAGCCTAATGCAGAGCCAATGCCTTGACCACAAAAGTACTTTTCTTTTTCTGGAGAGACTGTGTCAGGCTGCAAATAATTACAATTAGGAAGTAGTGGACATCAAAATTAGTCTGGATTGGAGAGCAGAAGTGAAAGTGTGTTAGAAACAAACACTGCTTTACCAGGGAAACGTACTGAATAATTTACCAAGTCTTTTCCATCTCTACTCTGAACCAACAGCAACACAAATTTGCACATATAAACCCAAACAATCAAAAATAATACCAAATCATGTTTTCTATTTGTTTGTATTTATGCAGTCAATTCTATAACAGCAATGAAAGTATAAAACAATGCCCTAGAGAGCAGTAATAAACTCAAGGCTCTCACCTATAAGAATTATTAGTCTCTACCGGCAGCAGTACTAAGCTTATAAACACACACAGAGTGCTGGAGCGCAACCGTGAGTTGTGCCATACAGCACCGCAGGCTGCTCTTGGCCTTTCTGCTACCTGCAGCAGGTCCCCGGTGTGGACAGGGGTTACTGCCACGGCTGAACGCTGCCAGAAAATAGGAACACGGCCAGCCAGCTTGGGAGAGAGAGGGAAAGCAGCACCTGAAGGTGCATGGGAGGGGGAATCCTGGCCGCACGCAATGCTCAGGCTAAACCAGGCTTCACTTCCAATCAGCTCAGACTCTCACGTTGTGACTAAGGCTTAAAACACAAAGGAGAACGGGGCCTTTCACTGCCTCTGCTAACGGGGACAGAGGAATAGAACCAAAGATTGGGTTTGGAGGTTTTATGGGTTTTGTCTTTTTGGGTTGGGTTATTTGGGTATTTTTTTTTTTCAATGACAGTTTTGGGTTATATCTGGGTTCATTTTCACACATGCTTCTAATTAAAAGTGCTTTAAAAATAACAGTAATCAGAGCAAGTGGAATATTGCTGGAGTCAGCTTCCTTCCTCCAAGCTTGTTCGTCATTGCTTTAACAGTTACAGCATCCCTGACAATTCCCATTTGTGATCCATCTCCAGTGTTTACAAGGGAACTACTCCAAGGACCATTAGAGACCTGATTTGGTGTCAAGTCTCCCAGCTGTGCTGTCACTTAGCCACAGTCTGCCTGCTTAGTCCAGCAAAACAACAGAGAGTGCCAGTAACTCCGATTGCCTTTCTATCATAGGGAATATTACAGGCTGCGTCAAGTGTAAATTCAGAAAATTAGATGATCACTGATTTATAATCTCAGAAACATGGAACGGCACTCAAAGTCTGCTTAAACTTTCTCAAAAGAGTCTGCTATTTCCACGCACAGTCTTGTTTCTCTGAGGTTGGGCTTCCCACCATAGTTCTCCTGCTTGGAAGCTACAGATCTCCGCAATGGCAATTGACTCTCACTGGAAAGCTTTGTAGTCATATAAATATCCTTTGACTCTCTCTTCAGAAAATATCCCTTTTCTTTTCTCCCTCTGTGCTAGAAAAAGGCTCCTGAAACTTATTCTGCATTTGAAATAGGCTGCATGAGCAGTCACTGCTGACATCAAGCTGATCAGCCTGATCTACTTTTGTCATTCAGAGATAAACCGTAGCTTGTGGAGTTTGGTGTGTTTGTAGGGTTGGGTTGTTTTGTTATTTTGGAGTTTAGATATCTGGTATGCTTTGGTCTAAGCACAATATGTTTTACATGAGATTTTATCCTTGGCTTTCCGAGCAA